AAAATAAAACTATGAAAAATTATTAGTGACATTGTTGTTGTTGTTGTTCTTTTTGTTATTATTATTATTTTTATTGTTATTGGCTAGCTATTGCTGCTACATTATTGCATCATTGTATGTTGCATTGCATCTTCACATATATTAAAAAAAATAACATTATTTTTATTATGCTGAAATTCTATGTTGCCTGTTGAATATTTTTTTTCTCTTTATTTTCATTTTCCTTTATTACAATTTTATGTACATCAAAACAAAATCAAAAATGAACAAAAAAAAAAAACAAAAATTAGATAGGAAAAAAAAACAGTACAGATGCTATGGAATATTTTGTTGCTATTTTATAAATTCTCTGATATTTTTATATTGAATGCATGATGCCTGGCTGCATCAAAACAACACAACCAAATATACAAGGAAAACTAAAAACGAAAAAAAAAACAACAATGCTCTTAAAAAGGAGAAAAGAAAATAACGATGAAAACAAGTTTTTTTTCTTTATTTTCTTTTTCTTTTCTCTTTGTATTTTCTTCGTTGTTTAATTTTACCTTTACTATATACCTTCAACTATCTCTATATACCTCCACCCTTCAGTTTTCATGGTATACGACAACAAAACTCTTAAATATTATGAAAAAAAAAAATTAGAAGTAATAAAAATAAAAATGAAAAAAACAAAAAAATTAAACTATCAAATATTTTCCTTCTTTTTTTTTTTTGTTTTTGTAATTTTGTTCTTCAAGAAATTCCTCCAGTTATATCCGTGCAGCTACCTGAATTACTGAACACGCGTCTTATGTCTTTTAATATAACCTCGGCTCTTTGCCAATATACCTCTTACATATATATATATGTTGTAATGGTTGTACACAAATCTTGCTTATACATTTATATATTATGTATATATGAATGTATGTATGTATTTTTATAATAAAATGGTACATAGAATTATGAATATAAGTATGTTTGGATGTGTGCAAATAATAATTTTTTGTATATATGTTTTTATACATAAATTTTACCTATAAGATAATTTTCTGTCTTGGATATTTTGTTTTTGTATCTTGAGGAGTTGTTGGACTTTTCTCATTTTTTTGTTGTTTTTTTTTTTGGAAATTTTATAAAAAAAATTCAAGAATTCTATGTTCTTGTTTTATGATTATTGTTAATGATTTTGATGATGATGATTATCATCATCATTGTTATCATTTATAATCACAAAAAAATTTTTGTAATCATCAATATCATGACGATGATGATGATTAACATCAGCAGCAGCAGCATCATTAATATTGTAAGTTATCATATTAAATTGGTATTCAACTCTTCTTTTTTTTTCTTTTTTTTTCTTTTATTGTTATGATCGTATTTTAATGTTTTGGAGTTTTTGTTTTGTTCCTATTTGTGTTTTTGTTATTGTTGTTTTAGGTTGTATTTTATTTTTGGTTTGTTCTTAATATTATATTACGATTTAAAATTTAAATGGACGACGGTGACGAAAAGGAGAAATAGCGGCCGGGGGCCTGTTTTTTTTTCAGTTTATTTCTATTTTGTTTTCTTTTTATACTGGAATATTTTTAAAAAAGAAGTTTAGATTTTTTTGTAAAAAAATTTTTTTAATCAAAATAAAAATTAAAATAAGTAAAGGAAGAAAAGGAAGGGAGACGTCTATTTTAAGGAAACATAGAATTTTACTATATACATATGTATACAGGGTATTTCACATAAGGTAATTAAATACACATTTGAGTATTTAAATGCATTTTCCTCTGCCTTCCAATAATAATAAATGATATGGGAAAATATTATATGAGTTAACTTTTAATAACTGAAATTTCCGAGAAATTTCGAATTAAAAAAAAATTCTAACTTTTACGACTATTTCACTATTTTTATTCTAACTTTTTAAACTATTTCACAAATCAAATAGATTGTAAGACCAAAAATAAAGAGGAATCAATTGCTTGTAAAACAAACCGCCGATTGTTACTCTATGACGCGCACCTGCACCACGCCCCCGCCGCCGTACAATTTTTTACTTGAAATTGATCAAAGAATGATTTTTGAAATTATTTTCCGCCTTATGCGAAACATCCTGTATATGTGCATATACATACAAGTGTATGTGTTTGTATTTTAAACGTCTCCTCTTTGATTTCTTAAATATATTTATGTATATAGATTTATTTTTTTAAGAATATTTCTATCTACTTGCATATTACCTGTACATTTTTTCTACATTTAATTTTTTTTTCATTTTTTAAGACTATTGGAGATAGAGCATTTTTTAAAGAATATTTAAAGTTCATACTTACATTGGAATAGGTTTGTATATATTCTGTACATACAGATAAAAGTTCTATTGCGATTTTATGTATATGACTATATTCATAATATCATATACATACATATTTTACAAATTTATTGTGTAAATTTATATGCTTATTCTTTTGCATTAAAAATATTTATATATTATATATAAAGAATATTTACGAGATTTTTATATGCGCTACGTTAAAATATATACAAAAATGTTGTAAAAGAGGGAAGAGAATATAAAAAATATTGATAATGATAATAAATAATGGTAATGATGATGATAGTATAATGATGATTTATATGAAGGTGATGATGATGATTACAATGATTTTATTATATGCTATAACGTACGAATATATCCAAAAAAAGTTTTTTTTTATATTAAAATATAAAAAAAATCATTTTCGTAGGTTTCATATCAAAAATTTTTATTATCGTATTATTATGCTTGTTTGTATATCTTTTTTGTATATATATATATATATATATATAAATGGGTTTATATTCTAGTGAAAAAATTTATTTTAAAAAATATTCTAAATTTCGTTTTTAATTTGAATTATTCGTGCATAATATACTCATTTTAAACTACTGCAGGCTAGTCACCTACCTAGTTAACTCTATGACGCTATGAAACTAGGGCATGATATCACGCACTAGCCCTATGCTTCTCCTAGGAGTAAAGAAGGAAAAAAAAATATACTCATTTTGTAATTTGTAATTTAATTGAAATTTCAATATTTAATTTATTATAATAAATTTGAATAATAAATTTTATGAACAGATTAAGAGTAAAATTAAGACTTCATGTGAAACATTCATGTGTTTTTTCATTGGGGTTAAACGAACGAAAATTAGAAAAACTGACACTTTTTTTGAGCTATTAAAAACTATAATTATATACCGGTCCATTTCATTCGAAAATAAGATTAGTAACTAAATGTATGCGTCGTTAAATTTACCTAATTTTCTTTATTTTATGGAAAATTTGAATTTCGAAAACTCAAGAACGAGTAAATAGACTCGGTAGAAGAATAAAAAAATATTAAAAGAAATGGTAACTTTAGATTCCTTTAATATTTAAGTATATCATAAAATCGGGGTTTACAAATTTAAATATTAAAATTTTAAGTTAATTTTTCATAACTCAGTTAAAAGATTATTTTGCACATAAATTTAGTTGAGTTTAAAGGACACATAGTTATTCATTTCGAAAAATATTATGTTTATTGCGAGTATTTAATAAATCATTATATAGAAAATTATATAGAAAATCATAAGGAACTCGGTTTTTTTCCTTTGGAGGCTTTAAGATAACCATGACAAAAAAACACAAAAAATTGACTCCCAAAAGTATGTAATCACAATTACAACTTAATTGAACTGATTTAATTATTCGGACAAATAATTCGGAACAAAGTAATTTACAAGCCAAGAAAGGTTGAACAGAAGAACGGCTTAAACAAAAATTGTTATTTTTATTTCAGTTTTTTTTTTTTCTGAACTAAAAACTCAAACTTCTTTTCTTTCAAATTAATCGCCTGTCTTCCATCATATTTTCAAATTCAATTCAGTTGAATTTTTTCACTTCATTTCGAAAGCGTATAGAAAAACTAAAGTAAAAATTTATGTTTTTTTTTCTTTTCTTTTTTAGTTGTTGCTCCTATGATTTTTTTTCTATTAAAGATGAAATGAATTCAATGTTTTGTGATTTTAAATATTTTTTTTTTCCTATTTTCTTCATTTTATTTTTTTTTTTGTTTTGTTTAAAGAAATTTATGTCTACAATTTTGGAAGCATGAAAAGTGAAAAATGTATAAGTTTTAAAAAAAAATTTAAGTTAGAGCTCGTGTCCTATGTTTTTCTTAAGCCCCTTGTATATATTATTTTGTTCTTCCACTTTTTCATGATTTTGGTTCATTTGGATTTTGTGTCGTTGGCTGTTATTATAATTTTGCGTGTATATATTCTTATTTATGTATTAAAGTAAAATAAGAAGGAAAATAAGCAGAAAACTAAAAAAAAACATGGACTTTTATACATAATTTATAGGTAAAAAAAAAATTAAGAAAAATGTTGAAAAGTTAGAAACTAAATTAATAGCAGCCACAACAATTGTAAGAACGGCAAGGGAAAATTCTGCAAAAATGAAATTAAATTCCATTGAAAGTTTGATTTAAGGCTATAAATGAATGATGATTATTTTTTAAATTACTAAATATTTCAATACTATTTGAATATTTAAAATTAACTTGATTCGCTTTTTAATTAAAATCAGTTTTAGTAGATCTTCTTCATAATGGGATCAATACGCAGATATAGCGTATTGAAAATTTACTAAAATAATTTTAATAAATAATTTACATCCAATGGTCAAAATTATCTTGCAGATTTAAATTTTATAATTTGCTTATAAAATTTGATTCCTTTAGAATTTTACAATTTCCTTCGAAATTTGTAAATTTTCTTAATTTAAATTCAACTTTTACATTAATAGAATTAAGATATATTAAAAACAAAAGACTCAGGCGAGAAACCTATTAATATTTTAATATTTTTGATTTTATTCAAAAATTTTCATTTATAGTTTAGAAAAATTCTGAACATTTGTAGAAATTTGGAAAAACTCAAAAACGTAAATAAGTAGAATTGTTTTTTTCTAAAATTCTGAAAAAAAAACTTACCTATTAGTACTGCTAAACCGAATAATTCTGTATCTAACATTCCTTGTTTTGCAAAATGTAAACATGTTTGAGAATAAACTTCTCGTACACGACTTTTTGCTTCTACAAGAAAGTAAAGTGTTCTTGGTTGTGGTGTTCCTAGGAGTCTAAATAGAAAAATAAAAAAAAATATATAAAATAGAATTAATAAATTTGTATAACAATTTAATAGAAATTAATACCAAAATATTTCTTATATTCGTAGAATTTGCATTAGACAATTATTTAAATTTATTCAATATATTTATAATACCTTAATGCTAAAAACCGTGAGCCTGGTGATAGCGGTCTTGCTGGTGGCGCGCATGCCTCTAATGGCGCGCTTACGGTACAAAAAGTTCGCATGCTGCATTATTACTAAACTGCAATTATTTGTTCGAAATAGTTCTAGAAAAGAATAAAAAAAGTTAGAAAAAATTTAGTTAATAATTAAAAATTTTTTTTTATAATTGTAATATAATTTGTTTAATTAACTAAAATTTATGTTTGTATTTAAAAATTTTTGGTTTCTAATTGATTGACAATACCGTTTTTGAATTCTGTAGAAAATTGGATGCATATAATATTATTAAATATTACTGCCGAATAAGGAGAATGTGAAGGATATTTAAATTGAAAAAGCTAAGTATATTATAACACCTGCTTTTCTTCATTTGACAGTCACATTCAACCACTTATACTTATTTCTTTCGGGATTTTCAGCTCTTAACACTAAACATACCACAACGGGTCAAATGACCCATTTTGAACTTTTGCATTGAAAATGCACGTATAATTTTATTGCGTTTGCACATTTGACTTCACGACTTTTTCTAAGTAATTAATGTGCAGTTATAACAATTTTTTTTTGTTTGTTTTGTTTTGTTTATTCTGAGTAATTCTTGTTGTATACCGATATCTACCACAACGGGTCATTTGATCCGCTATGGTAGAAATAGGTATATATTAAGTCTTGGTATGATTAGTGTTAACTTACTACTTAATATATAAATTTATTAGCAATATTTTATTATAAATTTAAAAAAAATTTCATTGATTTAAAACAGGCAAAAATGCGGGCTCACCTAATTCGGGCAACCATTTCTAACTGTCTGTCTACTTAAAAATGGTTTAACACGTCATTACTGCCCACAAATAATTTAGTAAAAATTAAAATCTAATTTTATATTTTTGTTGTTAGTACAGAAAATAATTTGAATTTGGTTTTGCTAAAATCAGAAAATACGTAAAGAACAAAAATATGAGAACGTTGTCACGTCAACTAAAAATTAAAAAAAAAATTTTTCATTCTAATATGATTGGCGTTAATCTAGTTTTTATTTTCCTAGTTGCTATATGCGAATTTTTATTTTTTTGTTTATTGAATAGCTAGAATAGAAAATAATAAATCTTAAAATCAAAATTAGTATGAATTCGTAATCTGATATTTGAGAAATAGCAAGAAGAACACTGAAAAGAATAGAAATTAATTCTAAAGCGTCATAGACCAAAAAAAAAAAATTTTTTAAAACTTTGGAATTTTTCGTTTGAAAAATAAATTTTTTTTTATGATTGTTTACTTTTTCATTATAAATTTAAACAGTTAAAGAGAAAAAATATGACGTCAGAAGCTATTTAGACATTAAAGATTTTTGATTTAAGTAACCTAAGATTGTAATTCAATTTATAAGTATATATATTTGAATATTTTTAAAGAAATTAAGAATTTTTTGATATTATTTGAGTCTATTTCAGATAATTTTTTGGTTATGAAGAAATTATCAAAAATTTTACAATATGAGAGAAAAACCAAAACATAATTAGGTACTTAAAATTATTTAAAAACTATTCACCCAGTTTATGAATGTTTAATATTTAGATATTTTCAAAAATATTATTAAAATATGTTATAGATTTTAATAAAAAGTAAGAATTGATATATAGAGTGTAAAGAATGGTTGTTTGGGTATAATGTTGTTTCTAAGGCTATATTTAGAGTTCATCTTACGCATTCTTTTATTTTTTTTCGATAATTTTAGTTGAAATTGTGAATTCACCTGCTGATATTGCCCAGCGTATTCAAAATAGTGAAAAATATCGAAACAGGGAGTGCATAAAGCGCTATCGCAACTGTCCAACATTCACAATCTGAACTTCACAATTCACAATTTAATTTAATATTCTGATACTAGTGAAGAACGAGATAATATTAAAATTTCTCAATTTTTTTAAAAAATTTGCTCACACTTAAAAAATTCTAAATTCTAAACACACTCTAACAGTCTCATAGTATACTCTGAACAATCCTGTTAACTCCAATATAAAATTTTCAAAAATTGTACTCTATACCTTTAATTTTTTATAATTAATTGTATAAAAAGGTTCATGCAATTAAAACTAGGTATTATAGATATTGTATTTTGTATTTAGTTTGGCAAAATATGAAAAATATGATTGGAATGTTGAGTTTACGAACTATTTTTATTGTTTTGTTGTTGTTTCATTTTTCTTTTATTTGGTATTGTTTATTTTTTGTTTTGTATTTGTTTTTTTTTTTATTTTTTTATTATCATAATAGTGTGAAGGTGTTTCATGCCTTGTTATTTCTGTTTTTATTTTATTTTTAAAGTATATGTACATAAAATCAATGGAATTTTACCTGAAGAGGTAATAATAATAATAATATTCAGGTATAAATAATTGAGTATTACAATAAAGTAAAGAATGAAATTAATGAATGAATTGAAGAGAAAAAAAATGTTTTTTTTTTTTTTAAATTAAGAAAAATGTTTTATTAAATAAATAAATAATAAAAAAAATAATAAAAGAAAACAATAAAAAAAAATCTGTGGGTTTTCATTTTAAAGGTTTATTTTTTTCTTAGCAATCAATAAAAAAAAATGGTAATTTTTCGCTGCTTAAATAATTTGTATATTCATTTTTACTGATTCATTCTGACCTAATCAATTTTGGAATTCAAGAGTCTTTTTTTTTTGGTTTTCATTTACACATAAAATTAAGAATAAATTTAGGAATCAGAAAAATTGAAATGCGGAAATAATTGTTTTGATTTTCTTTATTTTTAACGTATATAAAAAAAAATAATTTTGTGTTTTATGTGTTAAGAATAATTAAAATATTTTTTTTTGAATAAACAAAAATAAAACATTGTCTATAGGCCTTTTTTAATTGCATTCCAATTAATGATGACGTTTTTAATGTTTGTATATTTAAATTGTAATTAGTTTGGTTTAATGTGTTTTCAAGCATTCTATATTCATTGTATCAAAATTATACTTCAATTTAAAAAAAAAATTGTGATTATTAACTTCACTCTGTCCGTCCGTGGACATCTTTACAAAACTTCTACACCGTTAAAGATAGAAATCTGAAATATATGTAGATCTTTACTAGAAACTTATTTCCGTAAAAAGCCTATCTCCCTAAAAATGCCATTTCTTAAGTGCTTAATTATTGTTGGAAAATCAGAAACATTTGTTTAATTCTGCAAATGCGGCTTGAAAAAAAGTAGCGGCTTGTTTCTTCTACCACGGTATACAATATTTGAACTTTTAGAACCTTTTAGAAACTAACAAATAGTTCATTTAGTTAGAAGAAAATGTTTTTCGACCTCCACCTCCTCTCAAGTCATCGTCCGTCGAAATTTGTAAAATTTAAACTTTTAACTCCCTATATTTCCGAAATTGCAAGCTTTTCTAAATTTCTATAAATACAGAAAGCTAACAGTAAATTCCATGCCATTAAAAAATATAATTATTTTACATAACTCACGCAAATAACCCTTAAAATCATTAACATTACCTTAACCCCACTTTAAATTTATTTTTGCTTTACTGCAAATATTGCATACAATGTCCATCCTAAATGTATGCAATCTTTAAAATATATTCTTAGATGAATGAAAGGTATTTTAAGAGATCTATAAGTATAGATTGTTTTAAAAAGCAGTATTTTCAGTTGTTAAAGGAAAAAATACTGCATAACAAACCATTATTTTAACCCAACTTTATTTTATTTTAAACACTATGTACAAGGAGTACATGATTTAGTTCTAACAGTTCTCATACGTTTTCAAACTACTATTATGGTTTTTCAGTTTTGGTATTAAAAAGAAAGAAAAAATTTGGGCTCGTATAACAATTATATAACAGAAATATTTCAAATCAAAAATTTCATATACTTATACTTCATTATTTCTTACTCATGTCATGTCGTCATTTTCCAAATTCACAAAAGTTTTTCATGACATTAATATTTAGCACCTTACAAACAAAATGCGAGAGACTCGTATAAAGAAAATTAAAGCCACTACACATTCATTGGATTTTTTTTTTTTTTTGGAAAATAAAAACAAAAAAAAGAAAAACACAAAATATCTTAGGACATATTTTCAATTTCTATATAAAAAGCAAAGAAAAGAGAAAAGGTTGCTAGAATATATGCCCGCACTGATAAAAGGTACGAAAATAGCACCTGCATAATACATCAAAAAATTAAACAAAAAAGAAACAAATCTTTACTTGGTTGTGTTGGTGTGTGTGTGTTTGGTATTAGTTTGTGACGTTAGGTATTAAAATTTTTAAAATTGAAATTTTTAAAAACCATCTTGTACCTACAGCTTTTATAGAAATATTTTTCAATGTTTTATAAAATCTGAGAAAAAAAAATGTGAACATAAATAAAAGGAAAACAAGAGAATAAAAATATGTAGCACCTGTTCAGAGATTAAAAAAAAAAATTGAGAGTTCAACATGTAAAAAGCAGACACAGAGAATAAAACGTTAAAACAAAAATAAAAAACAATAAGAAGTGACGATAAAAGACTCATCCAAATTCAAAAAAAAAAATATTTTACCATTTTTATTTTGGGCAATTTTTAGTGCGTTTTTGTAATAAATTTGATATGCAAGTGTGCCAATTTTTCTGTGATTATGATATGGGAATTCGTCCGCTTGGTTTTTTTATTGAAAACAACAATTGAGAGTTCACCATTTTACAAAATTATGAAATTTAACTAAATTTGAAATTCGTCCGCCTCTTTTTTTATACAATTTGTTGTGAGTATTCAAAACCATTATAAGAAATTCATTTGATCTTCTAATATAATATGGTATCAGCATTGTCTAATCAAAAACAAGTAAAACATCAGCGTAGCAATAAAGCAATCAGAAATTATTGCAGCTTTGATGCTTTTTCATTTACATAGAGATAAAAAAAATTAAATAAATTTTTTTGAACGTCCGTTGCATTTATTCATGAAACTTTTCTCTAAACTTCTCAGATAGAAAACAGAAATTTGGACGAGCAGATTGTGCTTATTAACCTTATTTAATATAATTTTCCTTATTCTTTCTAAAATTTTTGATTCGTCAACAAAATTCTTTTTG